AACCAAGAGACTCATGTGATGGTACAAGATCCCAATGATGAATGTAACTGTATTTTATACCAAAAATGTACCAATAAACTTAATGGGAAAAAAATAAAATAAAATAAAATAAATACCGCATTGTCTCTCTGCTGTGAGAAACCAAAAGTGGAAAGAGGGACTGAGATGTATAATGGATGTTGGGAAATGGGAAGAAAGTGTTCAAATGGGAAGGGGAGCAAGGGAGGAGGGAAGAAGGAAGGAAGGGACAAGAAAAAAGTGAACATAGAAGGAAAAAATGGAAACAAAACTTTTGTGCATAGGGAGGGGAGGGGGCTTGAGGGGGAGAAAGGGATAAAATAAAATTTAAAAAATAAATAAATACCTGACAGATATGAAAATAAACAATACATAGCAAGCAGGTCAGTAACAAAGTACTCCCACAAAAAACTCTAATGTTTATGTTACAAATAACTAAATTGCTTCTCATTGTTCCTTGTCCTGAATAAATACAACATTTAAACAGTCTAATAGTCATGCTATTGCTCATTAAACACTTACTACTACTTTAACTGTACACCAAAATCTTTTTCAATAAAAGTAGTATTTTGGTTCAAGGGTTTTTTTTTTAAGGTGCTAATTGTGATAAGGCAAGAGCCCCACACCCCAAATCTGCCTTCTGGAGGATCAAATTTAGTGGTATTTCTGGACTGAAGAAAGCAAGATGGTCTGAGACGTGGGGAAAGGTGGTTGGAGAGGAAAAAGGAGAAAACTGGGGATGGGGATCTGCGAGTGTGTAAACAAACTTCACAGCTCTTCATAAGAGCCATCCATATTCAAAAGGAGCTTCAGCAAGATCAAAGAGTGGAGTTTCCCATCCTCTTACATCAAATGGTCACCCACTAAGCATCCGCACTGGGTGGCCACTTGAAGAGTTGGTGGTTTCAGCCAGTTTGAGACAGAAGAAAACAACTTCTATGTTCCTGATAGAACTGCTTAAACAGTTATGACAGCAAAGCTAATAGGAGGAGTGTATTTCCAGCTGGGTGTCTGTCTTCTACAGTTGCTGGTAAGATCAAGTAGTTAAAAGCAAGTGTAGTTAGAGGGTTTGTCTAGGTTTTCCCTTGGTTCCACCAGTTTTACGATTACTGCAGAACATCAGAAATGATAGTGGCACTTAAATGTTGATTGACTTTTAAAGTCATCTCTATGACCTAAAATTTATTTCAAAGAAATCATTTCAAAATTATAAACTTAATTATCTACATATTTAGAACAATATTCATTGGTTTTTCAGAGTTGTAATATAACTGGGCTATTGGCTGAAGTTGTTATTCTTTAATTAGATATTTTAATATTTGTAGCAGTGTCCTCTATAAATATGTCATTTTAGCATAAAGGCCTTGTAATGGTAATTTTTATGTTCTTGGGAATTTTTATGAGTAAAAAACACATTCTGATACAAATTTAATTTGAACATAAAATTTATCTTAGCTAATTCCTTGACCTATGAATACTGATTTCATTTAAAGATAATTAGAAAACCTAAAAATATTTTAAAATGTGCAGTTCAGATAACTTCATAAATTTCTGCTGACTAGTACTTTTAATAATAAATATATATATTTGTTAATCATGATGTTCTAGATAAACTCAAATTTCTTTTCTGTACAATGGCTGGAAGCCACTGTTTATAGAGCTTTAATGATTTTTCTTCTCTTAATTATGAGAGCAGTAGAGTATGTAAATTACTAGAAAAATCTCCTACTGATAAACTATGCAAATGAAACACCAAATGAATGGATATATTCTTTTGTCATTAATTAGTTGATTAAACTTGACAAAAATGCAGTCTGACCAGGCTGACTCCACCT